TATAAAAAATGTTTTTAAAATTATATTTATTAAATTATTATAGATGAAATCAAGTTACTACCAATTTGTATTTTTAAAGGAAAGTAAATACTATATGATAAAAAAGCTCTTTCTAATATAATTATATAGTTTAAAAAGTAGATGAATGAATGCTAATAAAGTATTACATTGATTACTCTAATTAAATAAGAATGATAACTATAATAGTATATAATTCCTTTAGAGAACATTTAGAAGAATCAGTCAAACAAAAATTTAATAATAATCATTTTAATCTGATATTAATTTTGAATAGTTTAACTAGTATTTATCAATTATTTAATATTACAATTAACAAACCTTTAAGATAATTTTTATAGAAAGTGATATCTTTAGATGACTAATTGTAATGTTAGATAAATTATTGCTAATAATCTTTGATATATAAAAATAAGTGATATGTGTAGATGAGTTAAATGTTTATATCTATAAAAAGTATAATATACCAAATATCTTAAATGAAATAGATGATAATAAAATTTACAAAAAAATTAATGAAATTCTTGATGATAAAAAAAAAATTTTTTATTTATAAATATATTTTTTTAATAATGTAATTTTTTAATTTTTTTAATAATATAATAATATTAAAAAGTAGTTTAAGGGGTACTTATTTTCAATTTATGCTTGAAATCATGTAAATTAAAGGAAGAGAAAAAAATAATTTTGAAGAATAATTAATATTGAAAAAATATGATAAAATAAGAAATCAATTATTATTAATTGAAATCTATTAAATAGAAAGTATATAATATATATTCTATAATCAATTACCGAATTTATTAGCTAATTTTATAATATTAAATTTAAACTATTTGTCTTAACATTTTAGTTAATATTAAAAAAATTAATTTCTTAATAAATTTGGCTTTTTAAAAAAAGATTTTAAATCTATCATTTTAACAGAAAACATGTTAATTGATTATGCTAATATTTGAATCAATTTCAATAGAGAAAACATTAAAAAATCATTATAATGTACATAATAGTTTAAATAATCAATGGTATGTATATCACTTAATCTTAATGATGATGATAAGTTTAATTTTTCTTATTTTTTTTTTTTTTTTAAAAAAAAAAAAAAAAAAAAAAAAATACCAAAATTATAATTTTAATTTAATAAAAAGGTTGTACAGTACCATATATAATACCATCTCTCTATAAACATTAATTCTCTTCATCTTGAACATCATGTTCATCATTGTTTGTATCCTGATTGGAAATTGGTTAATATTTAATAATATCATTCAAAACAAATAATTTGAACTTACAAGGTCTTGCGTTTGTGATGAGTTATCCTGAGGAAATCCGCCAGGCATCAGAAGCTCTCGATTTTCATTTGGAAGTTGTTGATTTTCATCAATATCATTACCACTTGTTCCGCGAATTACATCAATTAATCTTTCAGCTGCTGCTTGTAGGTTTGCTGCATCAGCTATTTGGTGTATACGTTCTGTAATCATTTGCACATTCGCATTCTGTATAATAAACGAGAAAAACATATTTAAGTTTAAAAAATAGAAAATGAACAAGTAGTAAATAACACCAACTCCAAATAATTGTCGTAGATCAACTGCCAAAAGATTCTCCCAATCAGTGCTAGCAAGCGTTGAAGAAGAGTCTGAAAATGCATCATAAGGGCTAACTCCATCTGGTGGCGGTAAAGGATCGTGAAGATTAATATCTCCGCTCGTGACTTCTTCAGGAAGATATGCGAGAAATTTAGAATTTTCTATTTTAAAATAGAATAAACTTTTAATAAATTAATCCGATTATTTAACGAAAATGATTTCAAATGTATGCAAATAAATTATCAACGAATTACCAGAAATGACAATATATCTACTTAAATTTAGCGGAATTTGTTCATTAAACGAATTTTCTCTGAGATTTTTCCCATATGAAAAGGCTTGAGTAAACTCCTCATCGTTCAAAGAAGCTAGCAAATCATACTGTATTAATATAAAATTTAGATAATTGAAGTAATTTAAAAAAATATTCTTACCTTTATAATTTGGAATTTGCAATTTTACAACTACGTTTATTGACGTAGTCTGAAGCCATTCAATAAGCTATGAAATACATTATTAGGACAATGTTAAAAAGTATATATACACATCACGGAAATTCACAGATACTAACTTCAGGTTGCGTCCATAGAGGCGAGACTTGTTCAACGTAATGGTTAATCAAAAGATTAAGATGATTGGAACTTGGCCTGTTATTATATTATTATTAATTAGCAAATATATATTTAAGTTTTTGATCTGTCACAACTATATAATTAAACCTTACACTTCTTGAACTAACGAACTTTCGGCAACATCATTTTCAAGTTGGATATCACATTTTTCAGACAAAAGAAGAATAACGGATGGAAAATAAAGAATAGCTTTTTCTAACATTTTTGTGCTCATTTCATGTGTCTGCTTAAAATAATTTTTTTTTTTTTTGTTAATACTGATATTGTAACTTTAACAAGAACATAACTTAAATAAATACGCATAGCTTACGGAATTATTTTCATCACGCAACTCTAGTTGAAATTTTGCTATTGCGGCGGAATAAGCAAAATTAGGCCAATCTTGTAAATTATGCAAAGTCCACTCATTGGCAAGGGATAAAACATAAGAATGTTGTTGAGCTTTTAAACCAAGATAATCAATGAAATTCAGTACACACAAAGGATCGTTTACAGGATCCAATGAAAGTAATAATTTTGAAAATTCAAAGGAAGTTTGCCAACATCCTCGACGAGATGAAGATTGAATCTGACGTAATAATCCAAGGAAAAAAGCTCTATATGTATTCAAATGACAATCCTAAATATGAAGTTGTATTACAAGTTAGAATAGTAAATTAAACTCGTACCTATTTTCGAAATATTTGTAATCCATTCGAGAAGTACCTTTTGCAATATTAAACTTAACGTGGAAGCTTTTTTCAAACGCATACAATGCACGTTCTATAAGTTCGCCTGCCATAGTATGATCTCCTGACATTTTGTAAACGTCGCTCATTTGCAATAGCGAATCTATATGATATGGATTCTCATGCAATAGGGAGAAAACTGCATTTGGATCTATGAAATAATAAAGTATTTAGGCTCGAGTGTTTAATAAAAAACTCATGAAAGTGAAGGAACTCATAAAATTATGTACCATGTGTGGATATGCGTTGTAAAAAATCCGATTGAACTATTTGGTATTGCTGAGAGTGCATAAATTTAAAATAATAAATTCCTTCCTCTTCCTTCAATAATTCCATTCTTAATCCAAATTTAAGAATCGGCGGCCAACTTTGTCTTGGTTTTGCCAGCAACGTTTTTTTTATAGTACGCGCATAATTTCTGCTTCGAATCTCTCTGTCTACCTACATAACTAAATGTGAGGTTACCAAATCGGCAAAGAATTATAATTCAAATAATGTTGAAGTTACTCACAACTCCAGAAGAAAACATCCTCCTCATTTCGCCATCTGCATCTAATAAACGTGTATCTACAATTAAAAATGGATTGCTTAAAACTACTGAAGATTGATGTCCTTCTTTTGTTTTATCATCGTCCTGTTGTGCTGTTGAAAGATTACCGAACCTAATAAGCATATATTAATTTGTGTTAGGTACAGTACATCAAATTAAATCAATAATGATAATAATAATTTAATTTACTTGTCATTAATTTCTCGAATCAAAATTTCTAGTTCGGTATTGCTCATATCTTCAACTCTCTTTCCCGTACGTGATTTCTTATCTAATTCAGGCGCAGATTTATCGACAGAAGCATTTTTTTTCTTTTTCTTTTTCTTTTTCTTTTTTGAAGAAGAGGCTATAACTTGTGTCGAAGTAGTTTGTAAATTTTGCTACAATTTTATAAAAATATATTAGAAAATGATCGGCTTATAAGAATTAAATGTTTAAGTTCACTAACGTTTTCGTCTGAAATGTAACTTTCAGCGTCGTCAACACCTTCATTGAGCTTAATTTTTTATAAATATAGATAGTTATTTAATTTGGTCAGGATATTTTAACAAAACAGATGATCTTACGTACTAAATCGAATAAATTTCCCTTTGGAGGTGACCGTTTAGGCTCAATTTCTTCGGAATCATTTTCTTCTTCCATTTGCACTGCAGAGAGCTCATACTCTTTATTTATTGCTTTTCTAAATGCACGTCCTGACATTTTGCTATAAGTTTATAATACTTAAATACAGTGGAAGCGTTTCAATTTAATCCTATAATTGCCCTTGTTAATAGGCAAATCGTGTATTTTTCCGCCTGATAAGATCTGATTCAATCAACGTCACATGTAATAGTTATATCTTAAGTTTAGATTATTTAAATCAAGTCTAGGGGCTAAAATTTTGTTCAGTAATAATGGGTAAAAGAGACAAGAAAACGGGAAAAGGTATTATAGGAATGAAAATTTTTTTTTTAGTTCAAACTAAAATAAGGAATTACAATTTTTATTTTAAAAAAACGATAGGAAGATTGGATAAGTATTACCACTTGGCCAAAGAACAGGGTTATCGAGCTCGTTCAGCTTTTAAACTTATTCAATTAAATAAAAAATATAATTTTTTGGAGAAATCAAAATGTTTAATTGATTTGTGTGCAGCTCCTGGCGGTTGGTGAGTAATTCAACTATTTATATTTATTGATTAAAACTATTTTTTAATTTCCTTTTTCCTTAATTAAATTAAAGGTTACAAGTTGCGAGCAAATATATGCCAATTTCAAGTTTAATTATTGGTTTGAATTTATTTTGTTATAAAAAAAATTTTTTTTTTTAATTTCTTAATTAATTATATGAAATACATATCTTAATGCGTTAAAAAGGTATCGATCTTGTACCTATTAAACCAATTCCAAAGATTATCACTTTTCAGGAAGACATTACCACAGATAAATGTCGGGCTATTCTTCGAAACGAATTAAAAACTTGGAAAGCTGATGTGTAAATTAAAAATTATTCCTATTCATAACAATTACTTTAAGGATAAAACGTACGATTTAATAAATTATATTTTTATGTAGAGTACTTCATGACGGTGCTCCTAATGTTGGTGTATCTTGGATCCAAGATGCCTATGCACAATCTGAATTGACTCTAAAAGCTTTAAAGTTGGCTGTGGAATTTTTGAACAAAGGAGGTTTTTATCTTTTATCTTGAATTTGAATTTTATAAATTAATTATTATAATTATGATTCATATTTGCTCATAATTTGATGCAACAATTAGGCACTTTTGTGACTAAAGTGTTTAGATCCAAAGACTATAATAATTTAATATGGGTATTTAATCAACTATTTAAAAAAGTGGAGGCTACAAAACCTGCTTCTTCAAGGTACCTTTAATCATTTCCTATTAAAGAAATTGATTTCGAATCTAACAACCTATACGTTCATCTCATAGAAATGTATCGGCAGAAATTTTTGTTGTCTGTCGCGAATTTCTCGCCCCTAAAAAAATTGATTCGAAATTCCTCGATCCTCGCTCCGTTTTCCAAGAAGTAGATATCGGTCCTACAAATAGATCAGTAGATATATTACACCCTGAAAAAAAGAAGCGACAGCGAGAAGGTTATGATGACGGAGACTATACTTTATTTAAAGATGCATCAGTTCTAGATTTTATTCAATCGAACGATCCAATTAAACTTCTTAGTGAGGTCAATAAGTTAAATTTTGATACTGATGAAGCCAAGAAGTGAGTATCTTCACTTGCATTATATTTATTTTTACTTTTGCTGACCTTAATAATTTCTTAGAATATTGAATCATGAAACGACTATCGAAGAAATTAAATTGTGTTGTGAGGATTTAAAAGTTTTAGGTAAAAGAGAATTCAAAAATCTATTGAAATGGCGGAATTCTATTAGATCATCGGTAAGTAATTATATAAGTTTTCTGACAAATAATTTATCTTGATAAGAAATAATTTTTTAAAAAAAATAATTTTTAGTTGCAAGAACAAGATGGAATAAATGAAAAGTCAAGCGAGAAGGAAGAAAAAGAGGAATCTTTTGATGAAGACGAAATCATACAAGAAGAGGTTTGCATTATTTTGTCGTCATTAATTAATTTTCATTTTCAACATTTAATGATTAAAATTTTATTATTTTTTTTTTGTTATAATAAATAGCTCGAAAGATTGACCAAGGAAGAACAAGCTCGTCAGAAGAAAATTCGTCGAAAGGCCAATGAAAAACGTCAAAAAAATGTGACCCGTATGCAATTAAAAATGATTTCTCCTACAGATATAGCATTAGATCAAGTTGATTTAAATGGTAGTGAATCATTATTTAATTTAAAACAGATCGATAAATCTGGGGTATGTGATATTCTTCATTTAAATAAGTTTTTTGCATTAATTGCATAAATTTTCCTTCATGATTTCTTATCTTTTATAGAAGTTTGAAAATTGAGATATACAGACAACTAATTTATTTTATTTCAGATGTTAAAAACATTTCGAAAGGGAGACATGAATATTGTCATTGAAAACGAGCAAGACGATGATGACATTGTGATTGATGTTCAACAAAAACAAAGTGATGATACCGAAGATATGGAATGCATAGATGATGAAAATAACTTGACTTATTTAGAACAGGAAATGGAAGATTTGTAAGAAGATACTTTCACATTTGTTCCACATTTCGATTTGTTTTTAATGTTGATGAATTCCCTTTTTAGGTATGACCAATATAAAGAACATAAGGCAGAACGTGATGCGAAATATAGAGTTAAGAAAATGCGTGAAGAAAACGAAGAATGGAATGCCAATCTTACTTCCGATAAAGGCGATGATTGCGACAGTGTAACGTCGGACTATGCAATGCCTCGAAACACAAACACCTATGATTCGTCGTCATCAAGTGAAGACGATTCTGAAGAAGAATCATTTAATAGTCATAAAGTAAAGAATAAAGCAAAGAAAAACAAAAAATTATTAACAGATTTGAATGATGATGAAGGCGAGGAAAAACCTCAAAGTCCAAGTGGTTTAAGCAAAAAAGCAACTTTGTTTTTTGATCAGCCCTTATTTAAAAAAGTGATGGAGGAATATGATGAAAAGAAAGAACACGATCAAAACTCAAAAGCTGAAAAGATTCAAAGTGATGAAAATAAAGATCTGAAACTGTCTACAGAAGAAATTAAATTAGTTGAGAATTCTCGATCTGAACCCGAAAGAGATGAGTCTCAATTCAATAAAAATAAATCATTGAAACGTAAAGCTGAAGCGGTAAGAAATTCAAATGTATATTATTTTGAATCGAATTTAGTTGATAATAGTTTATCTTTTCCAGGTTGAGGAAGACGATGATTTAGAAATAGTTCCAGTCGATAAAGACAGTGATGAGGAATTGTGGGACGCTAATAAATCTGACGACGATGAAAAAAAAATGAAACGGACACGAGGTCATTTCATATTCATTTATTAAAATAACTTTAATTTTTACTTTTCTATAACGTTTGATTACATTTCTTTTATTACAGAAATTGGGTTAATTACCGCGGAAGCCGTAACTCTTGCACAACAATTAGTAAATCGACAAAAAACCAAGGAAGACTTGATTGATGAAGGTTTTAAACGACACACTTTTAATGATAGAGAAGGGTTACCATCTTGGTTCTTAGATGATGAAATGAAGCATAATAAAGTTAATTTGCCGATAACAAAAGAAGCCGTGGAAATAATTCGTCAAAGGATGAAAGCATTAAATGCTCGACCCATTAAAAAGATTGCCGAAGCCAAAGCTAGAAAAAAGATGAGGGTATTCATTTTTTGAATTAACGAAATATAATTTTTTTTATATAGATCATGACAAAATTTCTTTTCCTCTTCTTTGTTTAGGCCATAAAAAGACTCGCTAAACTTCAAAATAAAACTGATGTTATCGTTGATACTCCCAGTATGACTGAAAAAGAAAAGGCTCAAACAATTTCAAAAATGATTGCTAAGACGCAAAAGAAGGTTAAGAAGGAAGTTAAAGTAGTTGTTGCTAAGGGTGGAGCCAAGGGTATGAAAGGTCGACCTAAAGGTGTAAAAGGAAGATATAAGGTAACATTTCATTTTTAAAAAAAAATTAGTTACATCCGTATGATCTTTTTTACATAATGATTTCTTTATAAATATTTAATACTTTATTTAAATTTAGATGGTAGACTCGAGAATGAAAAAGGAAGTTAGAGCAATAAAAAGACAAGGAAAGTCGAAAAAAAGACAAAAACGTTAATTCTTTTTTTGATTAGGATGATCACGTATTACGTCATAAAAAAAATCATACAATTACTTTTTTAAAAATAAGAAATTGTCAGAAAATTGATTTAAGCACCAAAAAGCAGTAGTTCAAAAATAAATAATTTAAAATTCTGTGGCTTTTCAAAAATTTCCTTTTTTATAACATTGCATTTTGCAACGCCACCAAACTTCCTAAAATGAAAGTCATACTGCAGGTAATAGATGTTTGATCAACCATTTTTCCGAACCGCCGTAAAAGTAACGTAATACAAATGTCATACGAACTGATTTTGCCCCCTTTATTTTCACTTGAGTTGGCTGCAATTTCTGCAATTCCCAAACCAGCTTTTCAAAAAAAAAAAAAAAAAAAAAACAAAACGTATTCAAAACAGATTTTTTTTTCCTCCTCCAACCGCTTCTCATTGTACACATAGCCTTCTTCAAGCCACACTTCGCAAATATTGAGGAAAAACTTAATACTTTTCCCCCTTTATATAAAAATTATGGAAACCGTTCAGGTTCAAGACACTATACAAAATGACGTTATGGAAGAAGCCTCAACCTCTCATGTCGATAACACTGCGCCTCCAAACGCCGCCTCTTCAACTTTACAACAAATTCAAAAGGTCGAAAACCCACTTGGGAATCAAAGAGTTGAACAACAAGTTCATGGTGCCAATACTTCAAAAAACGATGGTTCTATAACACCTTCTACTACAGTAATGACTTTTCAACAGCAACCAAACCTTCCGGTACAAAATGTTCAAACAACTTGGCTTGACCCTTCACTAGAAAATAAAACTAATCTTTCGAATTCAACAATAACAACTGTAACGACTCACAAGGAACCTGTTATGACTGAACCTTTGGTTCAAAACTTGGCTACGAACGTTTCGACTACTCCACCTTCTACCACTCATGATCTTAATATGATG